AAGCATCTTCTTTGGCCTGACGGAGCTGTCTGAGTTTTGCAGTGAACCATGGTTTGTCGTTGTTGTAAGTTAAATGAGTCCTGGTAGGAATGCACATATCTTCACAGAAACTGATATAAGATGTTACAGTCTCTGTGAGCTCGTCCAGATCGGTGGCAGCAGATTCAAAGACGCTCCAATCAGTGAGGTCAAAACAAGCTTGTAAGTCCTGCTCTGCTTCATTAGTCCATCTTTTTACAGTCCTTAATACAGGTTTAGCTGATTTCAGTTTCTGCCTGTAGGTCGGTATAAGATGAATGTTGTTTTGTGCAAACAATGGGCCCGTTCATGCGCCCAAGTATCCGACCGCTGTGATAGTGGGAAAAATAATAAAACACAAACATTTTCAAAAAGAGAGCAAACTTCCTCTTCCATCACTACGTGATTCTGCCCCATGCGGCCAGTCACCCGAGTTAATTCAACCCCTCGTCACACGGGCCGAGGCCTGGCAGGCCATCCCCGGGGTGTCGGAATGGGTTATGGGCATAATAAAGCGAGGATATTCACTCCAATTCGCTCGAAGACCCCCGCACTTCAGCGGCGTGGTCCCCACCTCCGTGCAGAACAAGGACGCCCATGTCCTGCGCTCGGAGGTGATGAATTTGCTGGCAAAAGGAGCTGATTCCCCCCGATCGCTCTGATCCCACAGGTAATCAGGCGAGTGAGGGAACAAAAACACAGGGTTCTCCTGGTAGCCCCCCTGTGGATGAACCAGCTGTGGCTATCAGAGCTGACTCAGCTACTGATAGCGGCCCCTTGGCCTGTTCCACTGAGACGGGATCTCCTCTCTCAAGCGAACGGGACATTATGGCATCCTCGGCCCGACCTATGGGCCCTACACCTCTGGCCGCTCAATGGGAGCCTTCGTGCTTCCCAGAACGAGTCTTAAACACAATTTCAGAGGCTAGAGCTCCGTCTATGAGACGCCTCTATGCTTTAAAGTGGTCTTTTTTCTCCGCCTGGTGTTTAAACCGCGGCAAAGACCCTCTCACTTCCGAATTAGCAGAGGTGCTGTCTTTTCTACAAGAGCTGCTGGATAAGGGTCGCTCCACATCCATGCTCAAAGTCTATGTGGCGGCTATAGCGACCTCTCATGTCACTATTGAGGGCCAATCAGTGGGCAGAAATAGCACGGTCATCCGCTTCCTGAAGGGTGCAAGGAGACTGAATCCGCCTCGTCCCCTACCGTCTTTTCATGGGACCTGCCCACTGTGCTGAGGGCCCTGAAGGGCCCCGCTTTCGAGCCGCTACAAGCCGCCAACATTAGGTCGCTATCGCTAAAGACTGCTCTGCTTCTAGCACTAGCATCAGTAAAGCGAATAGGAGACCTGCAGGTGCTCTCAATTAGTCCTGCCTGTCTGGAATTCAGGCGTAACGACTCTAAAGTCATCCTGAAACCGAGGCACGGTTACGTACCTAAAGTGCTCTCCACTCAGTTCAGAGCACAGGTCATTACGCTCTCCGCGCTTCCTCCAACTGAAGAGGACAGAGAGCTATCTCTGCTCTGCCCCATCAGGGCGTTGAGAATCTATATTGAGCGTTCCGCTCCCTATAGGCGATCGGAATAACTCTTTGTCAGCTTCGGTAACCGCACCAAGGGGTTTCCGGTTACGAAGCAAAGACTCTCTAGATGGATAGTAGACGCCATCTCGCTAGCATACTCTTCCTTGGGCCTCCAATGCCCCATTGGAGTATGGGCCCACTCGACTAGAGGCATCGCCTCGTCGTAGGCATGGTCCAGTGGTGTGTCCATTGCGGATATTTGTGAGGTGGCCAGCTGGGCCTCGCCGTCCACATTTGCGAGGTTTTATTACCTGGAAGTCCCGGCCTTACAGGCCAGAATCCTTTCCGCTTGAAATGGCACGCGCTGCATAAACAGACATGACAGAGAGCCCTTGGCCGTACCGCGCCCAAGTTCTCTGGTATTGTTCACCTGTTAGCTCTCGACCCCTGGGTGTCAAAGTTACAGGTATTAGTGATGCGCGGATGGCGGTTAAATCCGCGGGCGCTGCGGATAATCCGCGGATCGGGTGTGTCAGGTAATAAAAAAATGCATTATGATTATTTGCGGGAGGGTCGCGTGTGGATAAAATAAATCATTAATGATGCAAGTATTAACTACATTTTATAAATTATGAACGTGTTTTAAGTAGGCTACAGAAATTGAATAAATTGTAAATTACCATTAAAAGTTATTCAACAAAACATTATTTAGTCAAGAGCAGTAAGGGATTTTCTCTGTCTTTTGTTGTTTGATTAACATTAATAAAAGACGGCACAGCTTT